CCTGATAAAGAATTGGGGAAAATCATCTCTGTTTCCTTGAAATTCAGTTTCTTTGCTCAGATCCTCAATTCTAAAATTTAAATCCTTTAGGATTTTTTTAAGAAAACAGGTGGTTTCTCTTTACATGTATTTCCAGCTCTTTGATCTGGGAAATAGGGTCAGCTATTATGCACTGATTAAGTCAAGTATGAATACTTCGATTAGCAAATTTCATAATTTTGTCCTCAACTTCTGTTCAAAAATATAATTTTAGGCAAGGTGAACCTCTGGCATTGATACATTTCATAATTTTGTTAGAAGCAAAATATCTTTAGGAGCTTTTATGTCTAAGGTCTCATGGAGATTAAGGCAATTGACATTTAGTTTTGAGCTTCCAAATCATGATAATTCAGAAAACTCTTGTGAGCCATAAGTGAAAACATTCTTAAGATACTGGATAAATGTAATTGCTAATGGTCATACAGGTTAATATTATTGTACACATCCAATAATTACTAAAGGTCTTCTTATTGACTTTACTGTTTGAGAGGGACTATTTTTCTATTAGAAACATTTATAATTGTTTTCCTGTAATTGTCTGAGCTAAGTTACAATTGTGTCATATAATGACCTTTAAAAACGTGTCTAGAAAAGCCTGCAGCTGTTCCCTCCTTGGGTTCTCTCTACCGAGTTATATTTAAGCCAGTGTCTCTGAAACCAGGCAGTAATAAAAGGGATATTATCCTTAGCAAATATCTTAATCATGGTAAATCTCTGTTGCCCTACAAATGACTGCATGGGGGATTAGAGTGGAGTAAGCCATTTGCTGAATATCACTGCCACCTTTCCGAGGCCATTTAAGCGTGTTTAATTTTTCAGGGTGAAACATGAAACCCACTAATACAAATGTTTGTGTTTGGCCTGAATTATATCCAGACTGTAACAGTTAGAGGAGGCTTAGGACCAGATTGTGAGTGATCTGTAGGAGGCCAGTTCTGCTTGGGAGAGTGAGAGAGAAAAATGCATTTTTGTTCCCTGTCCCAGCTCTCTTATGTCACTTATGCTGCCTCTCTTCTTTTCAATATTTATGTAAGGCTATCATAGGAAGTACCAGTAAATATATGGATGATGCTTAGCTCTGTATTTTTTTAATATCAATTCTTACTGTCATCCAGTGCCTGGGAGCCATGAGTATCTGACTTGGGTTCATTCTGGCTAAAATGGAGGTGACAATGCTATGAAGTACAAAATACTTTCAGGGACTTGTGTCCTCCATTGCATCGCTTCCTATCTGTTTGTTTATGCAGATTTCTATCAGGTTGCCCAGCAACACTGAGGCTCCCTGTTTTCCAGTGGTCAAGCTCAAGGGAACCTTTTGGGAGACTGAAGTACTACTGTGCATTTCATGCTTTCTTTTTTCCCTTTCTTTTAACAAAGCAGTGTCTTCTCTCTGTGCCTGCCCAGGCAACTGCAACCCTAGCCAGTGTGGACTCAGCCAGAGCCCTGGGAACTGGCAGCTCCAGGAGGTGTTTCCTGGGGCAGAATTCAGTGACTGTGAGGTGACTTGTTTTATGTGGCACAACCCTCTTACTTCACATGGCAGTGTGTCAGGAGCACATCACCCATGAGCTCCCCTTGTTCCCAAGGACTCTGCACTTGGGTTCACCTCCCCAGCCTGATTTCCTGAGCTTTCCATCAGGCAGCTTTCCCTATAAGTCCTGAACACGACTTCCCAGGGCAGCTATGAGGGTGAGAGGCAGTGTTTTGTTGTTCATAGAATCATGGTATCAGAAGAGTTTGAGTTGGAAAAGACTTTAAAGACCATCTCATTCCAACTCACCTGCTATGGTCCAGGACATCTGCTATCTCAGGTTGCTCACAGCCCTATCCAGCCTGGCCTTGAGCATGTCCAGGGATGGGGCAGGCACAGCTTCTCAACCTTCATAGTAAATATTTTTTTTCCTAAAATCCAACATAAACCTGCCTTCCTCCATCTTAGGGCCATTCCCCCTTGTCCTTTCTCTACATGTCCTTGTGAAAAGTCCCTCTCCAGCTCTCTTGTAGCCCCTTTAGGAACTGGAGCAAGTTGCTGTTGATTGTCTCATGGCTGCTGGACTGATCTTCAGTAAAGGTGTGGATGTCTGTCCATCCCAATGTTTACTGTGCTCAATGCAATATTCTCTGTTTTTAAATCCCAGGCAAGTTTCCAAATGACAAGCCCTGACTTTGAATGGTCAGCAGAATTTAATAAATATTCTAATAACCTTAAATGAGACCACAGGATGTGTGGTTAAGCAGTTATACTTGTTAATTGGGAGATGTAGCTAATAATAACCAAATTGAAAGAGGAAATTGAGTTAGTGCCTGTAAAAAATGAGACATTCACAGTGGACCCTCTCCTTACAAACTTCAAAATTCTTATTTTTCTAAACTTAATCACCTATTTAATTTTTCAACCACTTCAGACAGACACAAGTATTCTTTTCTATGGCAGTGGTTTAACATAAATTATGTATAACTTATCTTATTGGAGAGTTTGTGTCTTTGTGCTTTTAGCTTGAATCTGTGTTTTTCCCTAAGGAAAAAATAAATTCTGTTAAGTGGATAAAGTTTTGTTATACTCTGTTAAGTTTTCTACTCTGTAGAAAAGTTAAAGCTTTGATTTAATTTCCCTCATAGAAGAAACAAAATTCCAGTGGGAGACAATTATAGGTGAATATGAAACCCTTGGTGTGTTCAGTGTATCTTTCAGATGCTTTCGTAGTGATTGTGGATTAAATACCTACATAGATAAAATGGACATAGAATAATAAAGTATTTGGATTAGAAAAGCCCTCTAAAATCACCAAGTCCAACAATTAACCTGACACTATCATGTCCACCATTGAGTCTTCCCAGGTATATGATCTTTCTTTGTTTACTCTGAAGGTGCAAAGAACTTCTATTTCTGATTCCAGCCACTGTTTCATACACTAAGTAGTTGTGGGTTTATTCCTGTAGCTGCTGCTGGGGGATGTCTGCTCTTTGCACAGATTCTCTCATCAAAGTGTGAGGTCTTAATTGTGTCTTCATCTAGAGAAGTCTATCAGAAAGTGTTTTCACATTCACTAAATATTTTAGAGGTTTGAAAGTGTCTCTGCAGCAGGATAAAAACTAAAAATGTTCAGAGATTTTGTAATAAGGCTTCAAAGTGTGAAGTAAAATGATGTACTGGAATAGGGTCCAAGGTTAAGCTTCTCAGCTGGACTGAAAGCTCAGAACAGGGTTTTCACATTCCAGCTGATGCTCTCATCACCAGGTAATTGGCTATTTTGAGGAGGCTATTTTTTTGGCTTCAAGTAGGAATTTTCAAGTTGAGCATGAAAAGTCATTTTGTTCTCAGATGTTTCTTTTGAATCAGCATGCCCCTGTTCTGGTATAATACATGTTTCCTCAATGCAGTTTCTTCTGAAAAAATCTAATCTAAGGTAGAAATTAGCCCCTCTTTGAACATAGATTAAACCAGATAACCTCCTGAAAAGTCCTCCAACCTAAATTCTTCTATGATTCAGCTTGGAAAGATCACCCTCAATCTCTAATAAGGAGTTACAATACAGTAAAAAATGTCACATTAAGTGCTGAATGCCATGGTCTAAAGATAAGTATTAACTTATAAGTGAATTATTATCTAGTGTTCTCAGTTGCTGAGTAGTTTTATGCATATGGACTTTGTATATATTCTCATATATATATATTTACATATACATAGATATAGAGATGTGTATATATATATATATATATATATATATATATTTACATATACATAGATATAGAGATGTATATAGATATATATGTGTGTATGTGATATTATACACAGAGAACTGTGTAAGGGAAGGACTATCATGTCTATGCCAGTAAGTGACACAGGGCCAGGAGCATCCCCAGGCACTGGATGATGCTCATGTGCTCTATAGCACCACTTTGACCTGGTACAAGTAGAGGCATTCAAGAGGAAATGACTGATCATGCTTGGGATTTTACCATAGGCACAAACCCTTCCCATTTAGCAATTTGGATGCTGTTGTGGCTACATTTCAAATGGCAAATAACATAAGGAAGTGGAAAGTCACTCTATTGAGGCCAGGGAAGTTGAGGTTATATTCCTGGCTGTTGCCTGGATGTCCATAGACAAGCCACTTCAGTTTTTTTAGTCTCTTTATGCCAATTCCATTTTCTTAGTCTCTTTCTTTCAGATGTGCAAATGTCTTGCTGTAAAAACTCACATTTTCAAAACAGTATTTGTTTTCTGTGGTATGTTGGCAGGCACACATGGGAAGGGCCTGTTCTAGGTTGGGACCTCTAGAGGTTCCCATAATCCAAATAATAATGGTAAAGACAAGGGAATGACATGTGATTTGTTATGAAATGACCATCCAGTCTCCTTGAGAGAAGTAAGCTGAGTGATTGTTCTGTGTGTACCAGCTTTACAAGAGCAAGAGTGCCCATTTCAAGAAGGATTTGGGGACAAGCTTCTGCATATCTGTGTTCGCAACAGGCAGGAACAGCTTCCATAATTATTAAATTTAGTACAACTTCTATTGGATCTGCCATGGAAGAACTGCTGTGAAAAAAAAGCCATGGAACATGATTATGTTTGCATTTGAGTTGCTGTGATATAGAATAAATTCCTGGCACACAAAGAGCTGCTTTGTGGATGAGATAGGTTCCTAAAGATGGGCTTTTACCTTCCCTTTCCATATTGGCATGTAGAAAACACTCAAATGCCATGCCTCCTCACTTATCTGTCTGCAAAATGAAATTACAGGCTATTTAACAGAACTGACGTGCTGGATTAAAATGCATTTTTAAATGTGTTGATAATGCCACAGAGGGAATGTGTAATGGGAGAGATCAGTGCTCCTGTAGCAAACGCAGTGCTAAGGCTGGGGTTGTGCTAAGGTTGGGGTTGTGCTGGGAGCTGAGGTGCACCCCTGGGCCCACCTCTGGATCAGCTGAGTAATTAAGTGTTTGTTTGCTTCCAGATGAATACAAGAGTAAAGTAGCCTGTGAAGATGACAAGCTGAGGCTGAGCTGTAAGAAGAGCATGGTGATAGCCATTTACTCTGCTGTCTTTGGGAGGACACAAGGAGGCAGCCTGGAGTGCCCATACCAAAACCTAGGGATGCCCATGATTGGTAAGCAGGGGAATGGCTTGATCACGCTGATGTGGGCAGGATGATTTAATTTACTGTCACCACAGCAGAGCTGGCACAGACCCTGGTCAGAAAAGCAGGACTGGGAGATGCAACCTGCCATGGTGGTGCTCCTGATGTGTGGTACCTTGTCAACCAACAGTGAGCACCAAACTGAGGTGCAGCTGTATGACCTAGCTGAGTTCCCAGGCCACAGGCTTTTCACAGATTCATCTGATTATATGACTGAAGGTGCTTGAATTTCTTGTTCAATTTTCTGTCTTTGTGGTGGTTCATCCACTGAGCCTCTGCCTGTATTATGGAGGAACATATTATCTGGGGATGTCATGTACCATCTGCAGCCACTGAAGTCTTGACATTGCATTTAAACTTTTACTGAAGTTAAAGCAAGTTCAAAAAGCAAGTTGTTAAGTTTCATCATGTTATGGTTGGCTTACAGTACCTTCAAGTATCTTCTTTACTCTCAGACTATCAGGGTCTCTTACAGTCATGAGTTGAAGATAAATAATTGAAAAACATTCACTGGAACTTGAGCTAATGTGAAATGACTTTTGAATATTTTAGGTTGTGGCAGAGACAGCAACAGTCACAGTACAAAATCCTGTGCTCAGCATTTGTCATAATTCTTCTCTGCAGAGCTGAGTGGGAATTAACAGGTTTCCCAAAGGAATTGCCTCCAGAGAGGGAAAAGCTTCAGAGGAGACTGCACAAGGAACCTTGATCTGGTGCTATTGCCCATGCTGGGATCTGTTCAGCTGTATCTGAGGATCTTTGGCTTCACAGCTGCTGATCCAGTGTCCTTAAGGATTTAAATGCAATTCAAATGGAAGCATGTTGAGTGCTTGGCAATATGATACTGGGATGATGGGTGTCAGTAGAAACCCACAGGTGGAATGAGGCCAGTCAGGTTATTTGTGCAGTGTGGTGAGTGTCTTGCTTGTGTAGCTGTGCAAATCTGAGCATTGTAGCACAGCTGAGTTGTGCAGGGTCTCCTGAGGTGACCAGTGCTCCTGGATGTGCTCCTGTAGTCCCCCAGTTGCCAGGCAGCAGAAACCAAAACAGATGTGTATGGTGGGTTTGCCTGGAGCTCTTTGGTGTGGTGTTTGGGATGGGCTGAGTCTGTGCACTGGTTGCTGTGGTGGTTGTGCTGCTGGGTGAGAACTTGCCAAGTCAGTGAATCAGGATGGGTTTCTGGAGCAGACCTGAGCACCCCACTCTGTTGTCCTTGCTGAGAGGGCCGGAACAGGCACTTGCCAGTGACAAGGCACCAGCTCAGGGACCTGCTCTTCAATGTCAGCATGAAGCAAAACTCTGTGTGAAGCCACAGAGGGTAAAGTTTTATTCTTCTTTTCCCAGCTGCAAAATCATGAAACTTGTACTGGCTGAGAGCAGGGTATGTGGAACCAGAAAATAGGACAAGAGGCACAAACAGGGAGAACAAGCAGTGGGGTCTGACATCAGGGCTGCGTGTGCCATAGGATCTCCAGCACCTGTATGCCCTGCTGTTCTCAAACTGGCCTTGTGAGCTCTACAAATTGGGATGTTTGCCCAAGGAAATGAGGTGTCAGATCCTAGAGTGCAGGACACAGTCTGCTGCTGGGATGAGGCAAGGCTTTCCTCAAGTGTCAGCTCCTAAATGAAACTACTTGCATGAGCAGGCTCAGTCCAAGATAGTGTAATGCCAAATCAGGGGTGGGAATGCTGAGGAAACTTTACACTAAAAACCAGCTTAAGGTTTTAAGCTGTGAACATATGCTAAAAATGACAGAGTTGTTGGACAGGAGCAAATATCGACGTGTTTGGAATTGCTGGGATCTCAAGTATCTTAAGTCAGTCTGGTGCTCCTGGGGTGCTGTGGGAGTCGGTATGTCCCATCCATAGGAGCAAAGGGAGGGTGGGAAGGGTGTCTGGGATGTCTGCTGGCTGCATGCCCTGCAGGGCTGGGGAGGAGGTGTGAGGAACTCGCCATGGAGCAGTGACTTCCCCAGGCTTTCCCTGCCATTTGGGCACTGTGTGTGCAGGGTGAAGGACAGGTTCTGGCTGTTGATGTTTCCTTGCATGCTGAAATCCTGAGCGACTCCTGGGGACGGGGGTGAGCTTAACTAAAAGAAAATTGGGGGTGAGCAGGTCGTCATTGCCAATTTACTGTCTCCAGCCCTTAAATCCCTGTCATGTTTGGGAGTGGTTGTTCAGGTTTCTTCAGCTACAGCTCATGGATCCCCTTGGCATGAGGCAGCCTCTGCTTATCACATCCTTCCCTTCATCTGCCTGTGTGAGCTGCCCCAGTGGGGCAGAGCTCTGGTGCTGCAGCAATGGGAAGGTCAGCTCTGGCTGCAGTTTGCACTTCTCTTGGCCTCACAGGAGAAACTGGTGTAGGATCCAACCCAAATCAGCAAAAAGCACCCTCACACTGTGCTTTCCCCATGGCACCCTGCAAACCTCCCATTCCTGTCTCCAGTTACAGCAGTGACAAGAGCAGGTTGTGCTCCCAGCTGCCAGGAGTGATTGTGGGAGCAGCACTCAGGGTCCCCCAGCCTGCTTCAGAACTGCTCTTCTCACAGGCCTGCCTAGCCCAGCAGGCAGCTCTGTTCCTTCAGGAGCAGGTGGAAACATCACAATTTATAAATCAAAGCTTCTGCTAGCTGGAGAACATTTCCCTGCACGTTTCCACAGCCCTGCAATGTGGGGAGGGCTGTTCCGTGGCAGCCTTTGATCCCAGACATTCACAACAAGCTGATCTTACAAACATGACCGTATGAGTCAGACTTTGCAGCAACATCCAGTTCCTGTAAGGCAGAACCCAGCTATGTTCTGTACATGGGAGATTTATTCTGTTTGAGTTTCATGGGACTGATGATTTATGTCAAGTCTGAGCCTTGGCAAAGGGCATTTTGCTGGGAAGTAGACCCTGCACAAGTTTGCAGTGATTATTTATATCCATGCAGCCTGAGCTACTTGATGAGTGAAGAAATCATACTTGCCCCCAAAGTGGTGAAGATTATATTTTCTTCCTCTCCTAATGAAAAACAGTTCAGAAAATTTGGTTCCATTTTTCTTTCTGTGGACAAAATGCACATTTAGATTGAATTTAGAAATACATAGCTTCTACAGGTGAGGCTTTTAAAGAGCTGAGGTCTGAGATGGGCAGGAGAGATGGTCATTAAACTGTTTTTAAAGAGATAGTCTTTAAACAGCATTGCATATGTAAGGTAAATTAATTCAATTTGTGTTGTTTCTGCCTTGAAAAACATGACCTTGTACTTCTGTAGAAGTGTTGAGGAGATGAAGTCCACTAACAGTGAATTTCCTGGATTCTACACTAGGTGCTTGGCTGGTTTCTGAAGTATCCTGGTGTTGCTGTCCTTTTAACCCAGCTATTGTTGTGCTGCTTTTGGGTGATGAAACATCCCCAAGTTGCCCTTCACATGCCATGCTGTGCCATGCCATGCCATGCCATGCCGTGCCATGCCATGCCGTGCCATGCCATGCCATGCCATGCCATGCCATGCCATGCCATGCCATGCCATGCCATGCCATGCCATGCCATGCCATGCCATGCCAGACACATACTCTCTCTTTGTATAATGTCTATGTGAATGTGCTTAGCATCTGCGAAGAGAAAGTTATGGTAGAGAGCTCCATCCTATTGCTGTCATGTTAAAGTGAAAATCTGTCAGGATCCTCTTTTAACTGGAAACATGCTGAAACTTGTGTCTCTGACCATAATGGGAAACCCCTGCAAACAGCTGGAGCCCTCCTTGAATGCCTTGGGAACTCTGAAAAGCTCCTAAAAGAATTTGACCTTGTTTGTAGCTCTCTTAATAAAGCCTCCACTTTGCTGCCAGCATGTGCAGTGAGCATACACAGAGCATGGCGAGGTCTCAGGGGAAAGGGCTATTTACAAGCAATGAACCATTAATATCCCTCAGCCAAGTGAGCCCTTTGCCCCCTTTTCCTGCTGTTTACAGCTGCCTCTGCCTGCATCTCCAAGTGGCTTGTTTATTCTGAGAGCAGTAATTTTAAAAATGGCCTTTCTCTACACGTATCTGAGTGCAAAGTAGTGATCTGGTTAGGAGGCTGAGGAGGAAGATCTTGGATATAAAAGGATTAACCTTTTTGTTGCTTAGTGAAGCAACACATCTTTGCTTATATTCAGGACACCTGACTCGGTCACATTATTCATTTTTACAGTATCTCCCCCCCGAAGCACAGAGAGTGAGATGGACATGCTCAGCTGACTTCTAACACAGGATCCAGGACTCCTTCTCAAGGACCCTGTCTTTCTCCATCACATATACAAAAAGCCCAAAGAAATTTAAGTGCTCATCCTGGGTAGAAGGAATCTGGGCTTGGTTTTGGAGTCAGTGCAGGATCGTGGGAACTCTGGCTCCTCAGCCTTGCTCCTGGGGTGTGGATTAAGCTGAGACTCTGCTGAGACTGAAATGTCCTTGTCACTTAACATACAAGTTGCCTCCTGTGCCCCTGTAAAAGAGAAAAATGAATGTGTTTACAAAATCCCGAGGAAGCTCAGATGGTCAGTGGCACTCTCTGACTCATGGGATCTGATAATGGAGGAGCAGAGGAAGGAGTTCAGCAAGTGAGCCTGTGCTTTAGGTGCTCATTCCCTGGCATTTTTCATTCTAATGCAGTGACAGAAGGTGATCCAACCCAGTTTGTTTTGATTTCCGCCTCTTAATGCAGATGTACTTAAGACTTGAAGCAGAGTCCTCATATAAATATTTATTACACCATATAAATAATGGACCCTTCCAGTTTGTTTATCTGTGACCAGATCTAGTATGTGAATGAATATGAATTACGTGCAGTAAAAAATCTATTTTATTCCAGGGCACATGTTCCTGCCAGCAGAAGAGCTGGCTTTAAGAAACTGTGCCCCTCCAGCTGTGCATTTCTGGCTCTCTTCTGCTTCACCTTCTATGACCATTTTCCATCCTGTTTCCATCAGGACAAGGTGGTGGCTG